TAGCTTTTAATACCCTCGGACGTGCATATAAGCCATACGCTTATAAGGAAGTCTCACTATATACACTATGAGGAAGTCTTATTATATTTATCTACTTTTTATACTTGCGTCATTGACTATTCTAAAAAAAAAAAATGTTTGGCATTCAACTAATAATTTCAATTTGACATAAACTCCGGCGCTTCAAAAGGAGACTGAACTTTTGGTTTCATTCCGTTTTTTATGCCAATATCAGATTATTTAGAGAGAGCAAAGAGGATAGAAATAAACTTACTCCTTTCTTTAATATTTGCAATTCGTTGACATAATTAAACATCACTATAACAAAACTGCTATTTAAATTAAAAAAATATTTTTATTTTTAAACTTGGTTTCTCTCGGCACATTATATTATAGAATTTAAATTCAAAATTTTACCTCCTTTAAAATTAGTCAAATTTAAATTTTAATTGCTTCTGGAAATTGTTAATTCTTTCTTGCAATAAATTGTAAATTCTTTCTTTGAAATTGTATAGTTACGTAACAAACTGTATAAAGAATTGATAAATGTTTTCTTATGAGAAGCTATATGCGCATAAGTTGCTCTAATATTAACCAAAGTATTGTTCATTAATCATTACAATGCTCCCTTCATAAAAGTATCCAATAAGATTGCAATCTATTACATTAAGGGAATAATTCAAATGGAACATTATTTCCTATTTATACATGTTTTTAACTGTTGAAGGTACCATTTTACATTGGTTCCAGTCGAATTTATTTCAAAGTAAAATGTAGATCTTCTCAAATTTATTTAACTCAAATTATTTAGAATAATCTGAATCGAAAAAAAATTTTTTATATTTTTGGCTTGACTACGAAGAATTCAAATATGCTTATCTCGATTTTGTGTTACATAGCGTTAGGCAAACTTACCTTATTATAATTCAAATCATTTTCCCCTGTGTGAGGCTACTTATTTGATATAAAAAAAATAATTTCTCTCCAAAACTTTTTCGACTATTCTCGCATACTCACGTTTCTCATTTCTTTTGACGAAATTTCTTAACAAATCAATTTCTAAAAAAAATTACGAAGTAGAACTTTTTATTCTCATTCATTATTAGACTCTGTATACTTTTACACTATATATTTAACAGTAGTAAAATTGAAACAAATTTTCTTAAAATTTTTCAACGAAAAATTTGCATTACAAGCACTTTTTCACGTAATATAGAAAAAAAATCTAACCAACTTCTGACTCTTATTTTTTTTTCTTCTTTGACATAAAAAATATTATGCAACTTTTAAATGTAAACTCAAAATTGAAAATTATATAAACAAAAAGAAAAAAAAACAGAACTTTTAAGGCTCAATTACAAATTGAACTTGAAGAAAAAACGTAAAGAATTTGTAAAAGAATTTTAAAAATTCTTGTAAGAAGAGGAAGAAAAAATTAAAAACAGAAACAAAATATTTTGTTCATAATTTAACAAAAATTATGTATGAACATCTTTTTTATTAACCATTAGACTCAACAACAATATTAAGGTTTCAAATTCCATAAGATCAAATTTTTCATATACAAAAATTGAAAACCATGAAAAAGTTTACAAAATTACAAAATCACAAAAAAAAAACAAAATTCAGAAAAAATTCAATTCACTTAAAAAAAAACACAAAACGTTTATACTAAAAAAGCGTCGTCGCACTAAAGGTGATGGCAGTTGGGACTTTTGGGAATATTTTTACTCTAAACACACTTATTAAGGGCACAATTTATTTTCAAATTTTATTAAAGTTATTAACATTAAAATATTCATATTAATTCATTTTAAATTTTTTGTTTAAGTTCTACTTTTTCCCCCCTTGCTACTCGCTGTATGCTTTAGTTTTTTTTACTTTATATTGTCATTTTGCAATATTATTACAGATAGTTTGACATTTAAACAGTTGACCAAACGCAGATGCATTTATTGACATGAAACAAGTTTTTTTTTGTCCTTTTCTATTTATTGAGCAAAAATATTCTGTTTTTTTAAAAATCGCTTGTTTTTGTATTGTTTTATTGATTGTTCCATCAAAGTAGCTAACCAAGATCAACAATCAAATATTACAAAACAATTCAAGCATTAAGGAAAAAAAATTGAGCATGAAAAACCCCACTAAAGTTTTTTGTTTAACAATAATGAAAGTCAAAACAAAAAAAAAGGCAAATGTTTAAAACTGAAAAGTCAATTTGAAATTATGCACTTCGAAAATTTAATAAGTTTTTGTTGGAAAGTACATTTCAAATTAAGCATACATACATACATAAAAATATTCATTCAATTCCCTAATGCTTTCTATATAGAAAAAAAAGAGTTAAAATATAACAAAAGTATTTTAAAAGAGCAGATTTTCCATGCAATCTTTATAATCAGTTGCATACTACTATCTTGTACTCTAAGACTGAGCATACACACGAAATTGTTAGTTTTGCAATTCTGCTTGATTTTAAAATCTTGGAGCACACGTCTGAGCAACTTGCAAAATTGTCAAATTGTAATTACAATATTAAAAATTGTACATCCGGCGGAGCCCTAAGACATTACGCACACATGCAATTTTTAGTTTTGCAACTACTGCTTGATTGTATGAATTGTTGCGCGCACATCTGACTTGCAAAATTGTCAAATTGTAATTGCAATACTAAAAATTGTATATGTGCCGTAGCCTCTTCGTTTTGCAATTATTGCTTGCTTGTTTATTAAATGCGAACGCACATAAATGTGTAAGTTGCGACTATTGCATATTCAATATGTATAAACCGATTGACTCAACTTAAAATTGGTACAACAATTTATAAAAAAATGTTTGATCACAGCTATCATGCATATTGTTTGGTTGTTTGATTAAATGGAATTTCTCTGTTGCACATACAAGCGCTTTCATTAAAGCTAATGGGTCAAAAATTTGTTAGCGAGCAATTGCAAAACTTAAAATTGTGTGATGTCTAGGCGCTTAACAGACGGACAAAAAATAAAAATTACATTTTATAACAAAATTGAAAAAAAAAAAGAAAATTAATCGAAGTAATGAATTCAGAATGATATTTGATCGTGAATAAAAATTCAATTTTAAATGCTTAAACAGAAAAGTAACAAAAACTTTTGAGAGAATAAAAAGGCAAGAGTTACAAAGTTATTTGTTTTATTTGTTGATGTGATGTTGTCGTATTAAATTGTGATAATCGTAAAATATTCAACGCTCCGTTTTTATTTTGTTTTTGTGTAGTTCCATTGTTTATGATGAATTTACGATGAAAGGTGACAAACAACAGTCAAGAAGATTGTAATGAATTTCATAAGTAGAATAAATTCATCAGTTTAGTAGGGTTTTACTGAAGGTTTCTTCCTATAGTTTTTTTTTATCCAACTGTCATTTTTTTTGTAATTTTCATATTTTTCGTACCGGCTGCCACGAAAAATTTTTTTATTTAGTTTTCCTTATTATTTAAATTTATTTTAATATTTTGACATTTAACAACAAATTACCGTAAAATTTTTACTATAAAATAAGGTGCTCGCTCACAATTGATTTTTAATTTTCAATAGCTACATATGTATGTTTTTACAAAAATTAATGATAATCGCTCCGCTAATAAAAATTGCCAGAAATAGAAGAATAAATTGATAAAAATTAATTATAGATTTTTACTGTATAAAGGTTTCATCGTAGATTTTTGATAGTATATCTATTCGATTCGGTGAATTACCCTGACATTGCGGGATTACAATAATATTGTATTTCTACATAATATTGTTACAATTACTTCAGTTCGGTACAATTACTTTACTAGAATTTAATTTACTTAAAATTTTACTAAAATTTCAACGTCAGGATTAATTTATGACTTGTTCTGGGGTATTTGGTTGCGTAATACACAATGGTAATAATAAATCATAAAACAACAAATTCCAAATAGAATGCATACTACATATTATAAAACATTGCATTTTTATTTCAGATAAAATAGCGAAAAACTCATATACGATGTTCCAATGTATAAACCTGCATTTCTATGTAAACTATACCCATATACGAAATGACAATATTGGATTTTGAGAGAACCATTTTCTACTATCAAGCAACGTACTTAAAAACTAACAAAAACTAACAAAAAAAAAGTTATCATAAACATTTATCATAATTCAAATCTAACGTCAGTTCGGCTCATTAAGTAATTTTGATGTATGTAATCCACTTCTGAAACCTCTGAACCACGTATACATTATTGCAACCTCTGAATTATGTAGACTTAACAGTTATACACTTGCTTACATTATATTATAATAATATTGTAATAGCTAAATAATGCCAACTGCAGACGACGTCAATTAAAAATCTTGCTCTTATATGGTATGGAAAATGATTTATTAAAATATGATTTTCCAATAATATTGATTCGGAAAGAATTGGAAGAGAATTGGTATTATACACTGTTTTTCCCTGTTAAAGACGTGTCCTCCTCGTGGTTAAGAACTTCTTATGCACTAGTATTAAAATAGAAGTTGAAAACTAACAATGTTTCATTCTCTTCCCGTTGACATAATAACAGCAACGTTGCTGAGTATTTATTTAGTCCCGTACACTACGGCAGTACATATGTAGATTATAGATACAAAAAAAGCTGCGTAGATCTTCGCTGTTATTCAATTTTTTATAATTAAATTAGCAGTTAAATAACATTTTTTTCGCTCTTTGTTTCGAATAAAAATAAGAAAAAAAAATGTTTATTAAATATTTCACCGTTTTGTTTTGATTATTCAGAGTATTCAAAAAATTCAATAAAATTATTTTAGGAATTGTCGTTAAAAAATGAACAAAAAGTTTTAAATTTTTTTAAAAGAAAAAAATTTTGTCTTTTGTTTTACCTTCGGAAAATAATGAACTTTTTTAAGAAATAAAATTAAAAATAATTTATGGTCCTTAAACAAAAAAATTATTACAATTCTCTTTTTTTTTGTTTATAATTTTAGGGGCAATAATCGGGTCACATCATAATGACTCATCATGTTCATCTGGACCAGATTCACCTCATCATCATGGAGGTGGGAATGGTGGAGGTGCATCATCATCAAAAGAACATCATTTAGATGGAAGTTCAACGGGCCGAGCACAATATATTTCCGCATCCTGTGTAGTTTTCACACATTATACTGGTGATACAGCAAGTGTAGTTGATGAACATTTTTCTAGAGCACTTAATTTTAGTAATAAAGATAGTAAAGGTAAGTTTTTTATATTAATAACATTAATTTGAAAACAAATTATTAACCATTAGGCAACTTCAAAAATAAATTTGGAATGTTGCCAACTTCCTATTTTGTTTTTCTCCTTAACATTTGTAAATTTATTTAAAAAGAAGCAAAGTAAATAATTTGAAGGTGATTTCATGCTAGGCTCTATTGTATCCGATTTTACTTCTTATTATTGATAACGAGCTTATGGAATAAATTTTTTAAGGTATATTTCATATACTAGAGGATAAAAGGATATGACATTAAAATAAGCCTTCGTTGAATCAGGCACACTTAAGTTATTCAAATCCATAAAATGAAGATAACAAGAATCAATATAAAATATTTTTAGTTAACAATTTTTTTGAGTTTTAAATGATGACTAAATTTTTATAATTTGAAAATTCAATTTTGATGTTGCCATAAGAATTGTATGAACATTTGCCCCATTTGATGATAGACAAATTTTTTCACTTATTAATCTTTCATAATTGAAAATACGAGCAAAATACTACTTTTTTACATGATCATTAGTCGTACATACCAATTTATTTTATTGATCAATTGTTTTAGGAACCTTTATTTTAGACCTTTATTTGCAATCTCGTAATCTTACTTTGAGCTGACATATTGAGAGGTGTTCTATCATCCGGTCACTTACATGTATTATTGCAAGGCGAATCACTGCTATATCTAATCAATGCATATCTACTGTATTCCTTACTTTGTTTAACTATATCTTTAGCAAAATTGAAAAAAAAATATCTCATCATCCCACCCCGTCAAACTTATCTAAGTTCTTAAATTTGACATTAAATAAATGTCATTTTTTTGCTTTTTCGCTTGATTTGCTGGCTAATCTAAAGTAAGTTGTTAAAAAACAAACTTCTAATACTAAATAATGTGTGACTTACACATTATTTACATTAATTGCAGTGCAACTACGTTTGAGGGAATGTAACTTACATAAATAGCTCAGCTGCCGAACTAAATTTTTCTTAAATGTTCCTGGTTATGCTGAATTTACCAAAAATATAAAAATAAAATTTCTTCTGGGTACAGATTCACGTGTCGAACTATTTCAGAAAAAACCAAGATTTCAAAAATTAAGCTGAATTTAATTTCGTTTGTCCGATATTAAAACGTTATTAAATTTAAGGTTTGTGATTTACAAGTCATATTGAATTTTCAAATTTAATTCATCGTAACTTTTTTTGCACATTCATAATTTAAATGAAAACTTATTTATAAGGCACGGAATTCATGTAGAAAAATTTTTATGCATTTCTTAAATTTACGAGCAAATTATATTTATGTAAATTAAATAAAATAAATGAAGTAGATTTCATTAATGTTGCTAATTAATTTATAAATCATCTCAGCTCCGACACCCGACATTGACGTTGTTAGTATATTGTGTTCCATAGTACTTAAGTGAAAAAAAAAATATATGTGACGGATAATATCTTTATGTAATTAAATATTGTACTGTAGATATGTGTGTACACACATGTTTGCATAATTATATACTAATATGAAATTTACATATCATTTAAGTGTTTCATATATAAATATATGTACATATGTAATGTGCATGTGTATGTAGATTATCAAATAAAGAGACGACAATTCTTATTTCATTTTTAAATTCCAAAAAGGAATAAATAACCGAAATGAAAAAAAAGAGAAAACAACAAGAAACCAAGTTGAACACAAAGCTGAAGCGAACTAAAAATTCATTTATCGTGTAAAAAGATCTGAAAGATATCGCACGGTATGTGCAACTTTCTTGTCAAAACTTCTTTCTACTGATGGTGTTTTTATGCTATTTATGTGTCTTATTTAATTTTAATTTATTGGTGAAGTTTCTTAATATACGAGGCGAGGACGTTGAGGACGTATTTAATGCGCCTTTAATCATTTTAATCTCGTTGTTAATTCTTTGTTTTTTTTTTTTTATCACTTTGTGTAGGTACGACTTTTTTATTTTTTTTTTTTGCTTTTTCTTTTATGAAAAATCCGTACAACCGTGAAAATTGTAAGAACGATGAAAATTCTTAAATGAGGGAATAAAAAACCCTTTCGTCGGATATTTAAATGAAGTAGAAAACAGAAAAAAATTCTTTATCCTTCATTCTATAAAATTTTTATTAAATGTAATATACACAATTTGTAACTTAGCAAGTAAAGAGTGTATCATGTTAAGCTACGTATTCATGACAATCTTAAATTTTATGTCATTTTAAGTAAAGCGTAAACAAAACTTTCTAAAAAGTGAAAATGCAATGTGACAATAGGCGTTTGAGGATTATTAGAGTTGGGACATTACAAGAAAAACTGCAAATAATATAGCTTAAAAATTATCTGTTCAGGAAAGTTTATAATTGGTTATTCATTAACAAAAGAATCGTACGGAACTCCTAATCGAAAATAAAAGAACGCGCGATTGGAGCGCGATCGTCTACATGAGTTTTACCGTTTTCATGAATTCACATTCATGATTTTTTATGTTTCATACTGATTAAGAAATATCTACAATTATTGTTTGATAACTTTTTTAATTTCAGTGTCATATGTTAAGATATAGTTAACCTAAAATAGGCAGGTATTCAGTTTCGGCAATGAGCAAAATTTTTTTTTTCTCCTTGTTTTCATATTAATAAACATACTTTAGCTTTAGGAAATTAAATTAAGAGTAAAAGTACTTTTACTATACTCTCATTTACAATTGCGACTTAAATCTAAGAAACTATATGGATATGGACAGTATGTGTGTTTTAACAAAGTTCGGCAAATGGATACAGGCATATGTAAGATTTGAAAAGAACTCATAACACAATTTACTATTTCACATAAAAACCCAGAAAAATTTTTTGAATTTTGAATAAAAACCTGTTTTCCAACCCAAATTTTGGAACACCTTCCATATTTTTATTGTTAAGTAAATATCAAATGCATGGAATAACAAATGTTTTGTAATATACATATAATATGCAGTACATACACAAACATACACATGTGTACCTTAACGTAATGTAAACGTTTCCTAAGTTTATGCATATTCATATGCTATTTAATAAAAAAATTTATTTTGTATTCTTTTAATTTCTTTCTTTTTTAATTTTTATTTATGTAATTTTTCTTTTAAATTGATATTTTCATTATAAATGGGTGGTTGAGTATTTGTCACAGTCGAGTCACAATAAATTTCATATTTAAAGAGTCATTTTTAATCGTTGTGTGACAGTTATGTGATGCTTCAAAATTTATTTCAAAAAATATAAAAAAAATAAATGAAATTGAATTTTTTAAATGGTAGAAAAAAAGTTGAAAAAGAAACGTATATACAAACATATTAAAGCATACATGTATTTACATATGTACATTGTAAAATATGTGAATAGATACTTGTATGGTGTCATATTAAGTGATATAAGGTGAGGTGACATTTTAACAATATTAACATAAAATTAATATTTTCTTCTGGGGTCTTTTTGTTTTTATATTTTATAAATGAATGTGTTAATTATTAAAAAAGAAAGAAAACAAAATAATAATGAAAATTTATAAGAGCTAAAAAAAAAATATTAAATAATAATGATGATTTTGTTAGATCTTAATTTGAAAATGAATTTGTTTGAAAATGAATTTCCATATCCTTTGATATTTGTGATTTTTCGAAGAATTTCCTAGAAGATGATTACTAAAAAAAATTAATTTGACATTTTAAAACTTGTAATGATTATGTACATTATAATGTCAAATCATATCAAATAAAAAAGTGCCGCCATTTGACATTTTATTTTAATAAATTGTAAATTTCTTGGAATAATTAAATTAATGCAAAATGAAAAAATTGCAATTGAATTGGAAATAAAAATTAATTTTTAGGAAATAAAAATTAAATAAAATCTGAAATCACACGTGTGAACGCCATAAAAAATACTTAAAGTATTTTTATTCGTTGGTGTTATGCAGTAAACTGCTTTTTTTAAGTTTTGGAACTGATTACACCACAATACGTAGGCAGGGAGGATTCTATTTTTCCGACAAAAATACAAATGTGAAATATAAAAATTGTGCGGATAATATTCAGAAATATCAAATTTTTTGAAAATAAATATAGTAGTAAAATTCAGTGTTTGAAAATCTCAAATTCATTTTACTTGAACAGTAAATTTTTAGACATGTGTCTACTGCATAACAAAGCGTAATCCGAAAAATGTCATAACAACAAAAAGTAAATCATTGTAGACCCTAGAACAATAAATTCTTCTTGCAATCATTTACTTTATATGAAAAAAATCATATTTTCCACTTATAACACAAATTTTATACACAAGTAGAGTGTACATCATACCGAACTGAAATCATATTCAAATCATAATTCGGCATAGTTTATCGGAAAACGATTATTTGTTAATCGACATGGTCTTCCTACAACTTGAAAGTGAAATAGGCGACATGTGATTATCTCCTTCGAATATAAATGATTTCCGAAGGTTAAATTATTTTAAGTGCTCCGTTTTCATTTCATTAAGTCATACCATACCATCTTTCTTAAAAAATACTTTTCAAAAGGAAGCCAAAGAAATCTGCACATATTTGTTTAATTGTGAAGCAAGTTTTTCCATAAATGGTTTTCAAATTTTAAACTATGTACATCCTGTTTAATATTTTCTTTTACTAATCATTGTACATGAATGACACTCCAGAAAATGAATTACAATATGGCACTCAAGAAACTATGTATACTTACTTGCATTATCATAATGTCAAATATAACTGGGCAGCTCTTCAATTGCAGAGTATGATTAAAGCAAAAGGTGTCATGTTTAATTTTAACCCTAGTTAAAATTATTTCATTTGATTTTTAGCCACTTTTTCGTTTGACCTTCAACAAACCTTGAAACTTTTAATTGTCTTTAAATTTTAATTAAGAAAGGAAGGATTGTTAATATGCTTTTTCCTAATTCAGAGTACTTGTTGGC